AGCTGTCTTTCCTAAGACAGGGACACATGGGCCTGGTTATCCCTCTTGTCACATATGGAATGGTAGGAGATGGAAGAGGGAGAAAGGGCAATCTCAGGAGAGCTCAGGCACAGAGGTAAATGGTGTTAGCTGTCTGAGCCACTGCCCCTCCCCCCCCCCACAGAGGGGCACCTGAGCCCAGCCTAACCACCCCCTACATGCCCCCCTCACCTTGCAATCCTTTCAAATGGTCCAAACCCTTTTCCTATAACACTGACCAATGACAGGGTCATTCCCCAATATAGGCAATACCCACATTCCCACTGGGAAAGGGGGACGAAGACTCGACCCCCACAGGGTATAGGAGAGAAAGGCAGGAAAAGCAAGAGCCCTAGGGGGTCTGAGGAGCAGGTGTGTTGTCCAGGGAAAAGAAATTTGGCCAGTCAGGAACTGTAAAACACACCAATCTAAAACCAAAACCAGATCTCCCTGCCTCTTCCGCGGGAACAAAAAACGTCCTGCCAGATTTCTCCTGGGAAAAAAAGACCTGTTCCCCTCCCATCTCCTCCCCCAGCCAGGTCCCAGGTTTCCCATCTCCTAGGAAAAGATGGATCTCCCTGTTGAAATCCTCCCTGTGGTGTGTGTGGGTGGAGGAGCTGGGCTCTGCTAGTGGACCATGGTCCAGGCAGGGGCTCCACGTTCAGTGCGGGTGGGAGGAGAAGGCGTCACTTCCGGGGGCCTTTGGCCTTCTCTGGTATCTGGTGGCTCCCTGCTCTCTGATTGGACAGAAGTGTCCGGGGCAGGCTTGTGACCCTACTGCTGTGGAGGGGCTGTGCCCCAACACTACGTGTCTTCCTACCCATCGGCTCCCCAGAGTGCTGCCTGCTGTGCACCTGGGTCCTGGAGCCCTTCTCCACCTGGTGAGTGGCAAGCAGAGTTTGGAATTAATCGAGAGTAGGAAGGACAGGAAAGAGAATTGGGCTCTCAGCTGGGGGAGGGGCAGGCAAACTGGAACCTACAGGCACTGACCTTTGTCGAGAAGAGTGTAGCCTTCCCAGAATGGGAGGAGCAGGACGGAGCAGGGGTAGGGGGTGGGGTGCTGGGTTCTGAGGGACTGATCACAGACTTGGAAGAATATAGCACTGTTCTGGCTGGCCCTAAGGAAAGGGGACATGTGCCCAGGGAGAAGATAAGAAAGGTGGTGCGTTTAGGGCTTAGGGCATGTAGCATCAAACTGGACACGGGCCCAATCTCCATTCTTACCCAGTCGTTCCTGGTTAGTTTAAGTCTCTGAATCTTGGGACTGGGGAAGCTGGGCCTAAGGAGAGGGTAGTGGGAGGAGGGCTCATGCATGTTGACAGACCTACAGGAAATCCCAATATTGAATCAGGTGCAGGCCTCTTTGCACAACTTGTCAAAGAAGGAGGAGGCCATGTGGGGGGTCCTGTGAAGGAACTAGAAGGGGTCTGCAAAGGGGGCAGGGAGGAAGATGTGGGCTAGGGGATGGTTATGGTGACACCGGTGTCCAAGGAGAGGTAAGCCATGAGAGCTGGGTGTCTCACTCAGCAGGTGCCCATTGCTGGGCAACTTTACCGCAGGTGGGAAGTGCCAGGACTGTTAGCCACTTTCTCCGCCTCAGATAACCCAGTATTTTAGAACTGGGAGTGTAAAGAAAAACTTCAAGAGGCTTATGGGTGGGAGTAAATGGAGAGAGAACTAGCAGTTAATTGCTCCCATACCACCTTCTCATAATCTTGCAAGCACCAACCCCTAGTAGTCCTTTTTGTTTTCCCCCAAGTCCCCTCCTCAGCCCCACTCCCCCAGCTACCCCTCAATGCTTTGCATGTTTGCTAGCTCCTCATCCTGACCTTATGTCCCACTTTCGAACCTCTCCTCCAGGCTTATGCCACAATACTCCTGGTTCCCTCTCCCCATCCCAGATTTTCTCCAACCAACTACGGTTGCTCAGAATTTGAGGCCAATTACAACGTGTGTGTGTGTGTGTGTGTGTGTCCATATTCTGTCCTGCTGCTCTCAGCAGGGCCAGGGGCAGCAGCCCTACGTCAGGTCCACTAAGGAACCCTGACAAAGAGGAGACACCATACCCTGTAATCGCAAGGAGACCTGGGAGCAGGCAGAGCGTTAGCAGTTTGAGGCTGGTCCGCATCTCATGCCCTCCCAGCAGCTGTTCCCCCAGCCAGGCAGTCTTTTCCTTGACACCTGATTAAATGTTCATTATTCCTGGCACTTGCAGGATAGATTCCAGACCCTCTTCCTCAGCCCACCTGTGCCCCACCGTGCAAGAAGTGCCAGAGCCCAAGCCGCCTCCATGGCCCCAGGAAGGATTCAGGGGAGAGGCCCCATCCAGGGAGCCACTCCTACCAGACAGCCTGGCCAGAATGGAGCTGACTGGTAAGAAAACTCCTGCGGGATCTCAGGCCAAATCAAAGCAGGGTTAACGAGAGAAGAGAAGGGAGATGTGCTGCCAGGGTGGAGGGCTGCGGGAACCCAATCCACCAGGATTAAGGCTTCTGAAAGGTAAATTCCCTGGATTTCAGGTCTGGGTCCTAATTGGGAATTTCTGGACTACCACCTGACAATGATTTCTTCCTTATCCACCCTTTCAACCTCACTTCTTCTCATCTCAGAACTGCTCCTCGTGGTCATGCTTCTCCTAACTGCAAGACTGGATCTGTGCCTCCCGGCTCCTCCCGCCTGTGACCCCCGTCTCCTAAATAAACTGCTTCGTGACTCCCATGCCCTTCACAGCAGACTGGTGAGACTCTCCCAGCACTCTCCCCTCTATCCATTACCTGGGTAGACACCCTCACTCCCATCACTCCCTCCCACTCCCTGATCTGATCACTGTTCTTCCCATATTGTCCTTGGTAAGACCACCACCTCCCAATCACCACTGCTTGACAAAGATGACGATTTGCAATCTAGTCTACTTTTAAAAGCTCTGGTCTGGATATCTATTACTCATGGAAACCTATCCTAGTCACTGGGTCACCACACCCCCCCCTCCTTTATTTGAGCTTCTCCACCCTACCCCACCACCAATCTTTTTCAATAGAGCCAGTGTCCAGACGTTAACCCTTTGTCCACACCTGTCCTGCTGCCTGCTGTGGACTTTAGCTTGGGAGAATGGAAAACCCAGAAGGTAAGAAAGCCATCCTTCCTCTGATTTCCCTAACTCCTGTTTTCATCGGTTTTCTACTGCTTCCCACGATTTCTTCAAAATCCCTGAGCTCCCTAAAAATCTCTCACCTTTGGCGTGGACACCTTAAACTAATCTACATTCGACTGTGATGATATCCTCTGGATGATGGCTTGCGGTCCCAGTATGTGAAAGTAGATTCAAAGCTGAGCACCCAGAAAAGCTGCATAGAAGTCTCTCATGGTGGGGCGCCTGGGTGGCTCAGTGGGTTAAAGCCTCTGCCTTTGTCTCAGGCCATGATTCCAGGGTTCTGGGATCGAGCCCCGCATCGGGCTCTCTGCTCAGTGGGAAGCCTGCTTCCTTCTCTCTCTCTGCCTGCCTCTCTGCCTACTTGTGTGTGATCTCTGTCTGTCAAATAAATAAATAAAATCTTTATTAAAAAAAAAAAGTCTCTCATGGTGGGGCACCTGGGTGGCTCAGTGGGTTAAGCCTCTGCCTTCAGCTCAGGTCACGATCTCAGGGTCCTGGGATAGAGCCCCGCATCGGGCTCTCTGCTTGGCTGGGAACCTGCTTCCCCCCGCCTCTCTGCCTAGTTGTGATCTCTTTCTCTTTTAAAAAAATTAAAAAAAAACTTTAAAAAAAAAAAAAAAAAAAAAAAAAAAAAGAAGAAGAAGTCTCTCATGGCCATATTTTTGACCTGTTCCTGTGCAAACTTAAGCTGCCATGAAGAAGTAAGACTGGTCTGTCATCCTCAGATGACATAAAACTGGGAAGCAGAGGTAAAATAACAAGAGACAGAATCAAGTTTCACATTGCTGAAAGGCTAGATCAAAAACAAGGTAAAATTTAGCAGAGATATACAAAAAATTCCACATTTACTCAAAGTAATCAAAGAAGGTCCTATTCCAGCTTCCAGGCCATGATGCCCCCACTTCCCCTTATATAAACTTCTGGCCCTAGAACTTACTATGAACAAGATCTGGGAGGAATGAGCTAAGCTCAGACTTAGCAGGTAACACTATTAAAGCAGCTGTTTGAAAAGCTAGTGATTCTCGGTGGCTTTAGGTGTTTAGCACCCACCCTGTGGAAATATTCCTAAAAACCTTTAAGTGGCCTGGACTTAACAGTAAGTTGAGTACTGGATATCCTCCTCTAGACACATGCTAATTTATTCAGAGGGACCATATGAAACTAGCATGTGTCCAGAAGGAAGAAGCAACCTGAACACAGAGAGGTTAGAAAACATGTTATGTGAGGAATGGCTTAAAAAAAAAAAAAAAAAAAGCAAAGCCTGTCTGATGAGTTTGGAGAAAAGTGGTAAGTCTTGTGCTATAGCTGGACCTGCTTTAGTCTGGGGCTCAGGAAACCTCCTGGGAGGGAGCACTCCTTGCAAAGTGAGCTCTTCTACCCTCAAGATCCCTAGAATCCCCTTTCTTTCCTCTCAGGTCTTCTGGGGGTGGGGGCAGGTACTGGGCCAGGGACAAAGGGCGTTCCTAGGGATCCCTTGCAGTTCCAGCTCTGCCATTGATCAGTAAACCCCTTTCCTTTATCTTTATGATCTTTGTGATGGTCTCATCTCTACGTTCAGTTTTTAAAAAATCATATGATCCTAGGATTTTGTAGCAGAAAGAGTAGACTGGCAGCGCTAGAACCGAGAGGCTAAAAACTGTAATAGCACAGATTCCAACATAGTGTAAGGGGGAAAAAGAGCTTTTCTGACTGAAATTAAATGTAGGGCCAGGCTGGGTTACCAGACACTGGAGTTATTCAAGCAGGGGCTGATGACCAATTGTCGGGAGACTGTAAAGGAATTCCTGTGCTGGGTGGGACCTTGGTCCTGTCCAATTCTCAGCTCCTATGATTCATTCCGCTGGCTACTCCTACAGGCTCCCCACCCACTATTAGCATGCCCTTTGAAGCAGGCCGCGTCTCCCTTCCGTCTCTTTTGCAGGAGCAGACCAAGGCACAGGACGTTCTGGGAGCCGCAGCCCTTCTGCTGGAGGGAGTAATGGCAGCACGGACCCAACTGGGACCCACCTGCCTCTCATCCCTCCTGGGACAGCTTTCTGGACAGGTCCGCCTCCTCCTTGGGGCCCTGCAGGGCCTCCTTGGAACCCAGGTAAGTAAGTCCTGTGTCAAGGGGACTACAGAAACTGTCCTTTGCTGACTCCATCCTTTTAGGAGACCTGAGGGCAGAAAGGTGAATTCTGGGAATCATGAGGGTAGCACAGCTAGCCAACTAAGGAGTGCTCGCTTCCAGCCATAAAGTCTGGGTGCTGGCACCTTATCTTTCCCTGGAGACAAGGGAGGCATGATACCTGGCCCAGGTCTCTGGCCTCAGGCCCATCCTCTGCCCTCAGCTTCCTCCACAGGGCAGGACCACAACTCACAAGGATCCCAATGCCATATTCCTGACCTTCCAACAACTGCTCCGAGGAAAGGTGCGCTTCCTGTTGCTTGTAGTAGGGCCCACCCTCTGTGCCAAGCAGGCCCTATCCACGACAGCTGTCCCAAGCAATACCTCTCTATTCCTCACACTGTACAAGCTCCCAAACAGGACTTCTGGACTGTTGGAGACAAACTCCAGTGTCTCCGCCAGAACTACTGGCTCTGGACTTCTGAAGAGGCTGCAGGGATTCAGAGCCAAGATTCCTGGTCTGCTGAACCAGACCTCCAGGTCCCTAGACCAAATACCTGGACACCTAAACAGGACACACGGACCCTTGATTGGAACTCATGGACTCTTTCCTGGACCCTTACCTACAGCCCTAGGAGCCCCAGATATCCCTCTGGCAACTTCAGGCATGGACTCCCTGCCCCCCGACCTCTGGCCTGGATATTCTCCTTCCCCAGCCCATCCTCC